GGAGCACTTGTTAATTCATCTGAAATCATGGCTAACAGATGTAAGCTATGAAAGGTCTGGAAGAGAGCCTTTCCTACAGTTCAGGATTCTGTTTCAGATGTGATAATGTTATACTTATGCTCCAAATATGACCTGATCTTTATGTAACATGGACTCGTGTTGGAGAATTAGAAACCAATCTTATTTTGTCTTTCCTTACAAATATAGATAAGATATATATCTGAAAATCCATATCTTAAAAAATATGTAATAAACATGGAAAATGTGAAAGCTCCCTTACAAAAAAAACCCTTGACCTACCTATTTTCTTTCTCTTTCTTTCTATCTTTTTCTTTCTATCCTCTCTTCTTTTTCTTTTTCCTTCTATTTCTTTGTCTGTCTGCCTCTGTCTGTCTGTCTTGCTGTTTTCCTGTCTCTTTCTTTTTGCCTCTCTTTGTCTCCCTTTCTCTCTTTCTCTCTCTCTATGTATCTGTCTATCCACATTTTGAATATTATTGCTGCTGCGTTGGATCCTCATCCTTCTAGTGAGTGTACTGAATAGAAAAAGTTCCTCCTGTTGAAAACCTAGTATTATCATGGCTGAAAGTTGAAAACAGAACATAGGTTTAAAGATATATCTTATCTCCACTGCCAGCTCCTTTCATTAGCACAAGTGAGGTGGTCGCTAATAGTTTCACCTTTGCCAATTGTGACGTTTGCTGTAAGTCAGGCTGTGAGCCTTCTCTGAGCTTCTCCTATTAGATCAGGAGATTTTTAGGTGTGTCAGTCGTTGCTGCAGCCTCATTAGTGTCTGTGTGGCATCCCACAGGGTACATGAAAGGGTGGCACATTGCTCTTCTGAGCACAGCTGTGCCACACATTATAAAATAGCAAGATAGATCAACGTTGGCTATGAAAGTTTCAACTAATTAATTGAAAGAATGTCTGGGAAATATTTTAAGTAATGCGTGTGTCCAGAAACCAGAATATGTCATAGCAGTTTGATGATTTGCCTGTGTGCTATTCAGTCACTGCTGTAAGAAGTGGTACTTGCTTTGTCTCATGCAGCAGTTCTGACTGAGCTCTTCACAACAGCTGTAGATGAGTGCTATTGAGCATGCAAAAAATGGGGGTGCTAAGGGAAAACTCAGAAAACCTTATTCTGTTCAAAAAATGCCTTCTGCTTCATCAGTGCCTTCTGCTTTTGAGCATTTGCAGTCTCAGCCTGTTAGCCGCCTGGCTCTTATTTTCTTCTGGCTTTTCCCAGTGGAATAATTATCCTTCTAAATAGTCTTTCAGCACCAATGATCTTCACTTAGCTAACAGTTTTGTGGAAGTCAATGGCTTTACATTTACTTTCTGCCTTCCAGTTCAAAATGAAGTATATTTGAGACTACTGGCTGGTTTTGTTGAATAGGAGTTACAGCCCCACTTTTCAGGTAGCAGAGAACAAAGTTGCACAACTAGTCAGTTCAGGGTGCCGTTCAAGGTAGTGATTGTAACCTGTAAGATTTTGCATGACCTCTCACTGTCTAATAGATAAGGTCCGAGTTCAAACCCATATATTCAAGTGTGTAAATCCTATTTAGACCTGTGTTCTCCCTTTGGAAACAATGTAAGCTAATGGGATCTGATGCAGGTTAAATATTTATGTACCTTTGCGGATATGAGCCTACATCAGTAAAAATGTGTCTGTACATGAAAGTTCTTAGAAACTTCAGTTTGCTGAATATTAAGTGATCTTAAACCAAGATTATTCAGAAATGACATTGGAGCAATGTAACATTTATAAAATGTGTTACTGTTGTTGTTCTTCTTTGTTTACTGTGGCTAGGGGCATTTCTCATATTGATGATGTGAAGTTGGAACAAAAAACTGTTCCTGTCCCAAGGGCTCACATCCTATTACAAGAAAAGAGACACGCAGACACCTTAAAGGAAAACAGGCTGACAGCACGCAAAACAGTAGTAGCAGCATAAGAGTTGCCTTGAGTCCCACAGCTTTACCAAAAACTTTGTGATTTTCTTTAACTTTTGTCTTCTAAAGATATATTGGAGTGGATATATGAAGGCAGGTTATTGAAGCATCTGTATTGCTACAGGGTTTGGGTGTTTTTCCCCATTACATTGGCAGAGCTCAGATGTTTTCATCTAATGCAAAGCTATATATTTGCTCCCGCTTTTAGTGGAAGAGAGCATGTGGAATGCAGACATTGCATAGTGTGTAATTTTGTGCGTATTATCTTTAACCGATGCCACTTCAAACAGGGATTTCATGATTTCTGAAGTTAGACAGAACCTACCATGGAAATGCTTTAAAGTAGCAGTAAATAAAGGAAGATAAATTCAGACTAGATATACCTTCCTTTTTTTAATAGCAATGTTAAAAATAGGAGAAAATTTTCTGGGAATGGTGTGTACTATATTACTTACCTGAATTCTGTAGCAAACTGGGTGGATTCCTGAAATATATGTTGTTGCTCAAATAGAAATTGATTTAGACTAAAAAAAACCAAACAAACAAACACTGGGAAAAGTTGTTTCTCCTGTTTTGAAGGGGATCAGGCAAAGTTAGCATTACATTTCCTCTGGTTTTATAATGTATAAAAAAGTTAGTATGTGAGGTTTTAGTGACTGTTTTGGGAATTCTTGGATGATATGGGGTACCATCTGGAGGTATTTTAAACATACTATCTGAATATGTAAATAAATAACACTAGATTGTAAGCATTTTGGAAATGTAGTGATTCTTCACTCTTTCCGTTTCCTGAAGTGTTATTTTATCAGCATCATCTTGTGAAGTCTTTATTCTAAAAAATTATTCATTAGACATTGAAGTTCATCAAATGCATAAAATTAGAAGAATTTTATAGTTCCTAACTGCAATGTCAGTTCCTCTTCAGAGGTCAACTTTTGGTGTCTTGCTGCTTCTCATACCTACCGTTTTCCAGCTTTAAGATTTTAGCTCCAATATCTATCTGAGACAATAAGTCCTTTCAAATGTCAAACAGAAGTACAATGATCCCTTTACTAAATTCCCCCTTCTGGATACTCCAATGTTTCTGTCATCATAAAACAAAGAAAAAAAAAACCAGAACAGACAGAAAAATTCTGTGTTCCACTTGCCATCTTTAAGTCTCAGAGTAACTTACTTTGCTGAGGTTATAAACAAAATGACAACAGTAAGTATTTTCTAATGCTTCTTTTTTTTATGGCAAGCATGGGTAATTTAGCTATGCTGAATTATTTCTCCATTCCTTGCTCTGGGATGAAAGGGCATCTGTATATGCTGTTGATTATGAAAGTCAAGCTAGTGGTACTGCCATGCTTCCTTGACTACTTAAGCAAATGGTTCGGCCACCTTCTGAATCTGAAAGCCTAAGAATAATGGCAGTAATAAATACTTTTTGTCTACTGCGTGATGACACAGCGAATTGGATCATGTTAGGCTTTGTCTACTGCCTAATGCAACGTAACATAGCAGATAAAATAAATCAAATGGGTGACCCTCTATTAGACTTGAAAGCTGATAGCTCTTGTAAAGCCACTGATGTGAGACTATGTCAAGGCAGTAGATTTCTGATGTTTATTGAAGTCTGGAATCTTTGAAACCCAACAAAGACATGTTTTAAGGGCCATGAAATAAATGACTGCAAATACAGCATTATGCTTATTACTGACAGAGCTGTTTCCTGGAACAGAATTCAACTAAATTTTATGTTTGCTTTGTGTGTTTGATGCATTTTTCATTTCTGCAAGGGCTTTTTAGAGACACTGGCTTGAACTTCAAAGCATACAATTACAAATTCTGTAGCAATTGTCAAGGTAGCTAGACTCAGAACTTCTAGCTATTCTCTGATACCTGTCAGATATAGTTGTAAGTTTCTATGAATTGGGATTTAATATTGTGAACTCAAGGAAATGGTAACCAAAAATATATATTTTAGACTGTTTTCAACACTGTAGTTAAAGTTTCTGTTGTTGGGATCAATTTTAAGGAAGGTTTTAATTTATTTTTCATTCTTGTATTTGTTTCAGCTGTTTGTTCATTTTGAATGCTTATAACAATTCACTTTGTATGATTCATTACCTGAGCCTTTAAAATGTTGATCTGCTAATTAGCTTTCAATAAATAAGCGTGGAGTTGCTGTATTGAGCATATCTAATTAAGAGGCCTATGAAGACATGCCTATTCTCTTTACTTAAAGCTGTATTCTTTTTTGTTTCTGCTTTTCTTTGCTTTATGAAGACAGAGCTCTCAAATCTTACTTAGTTTTCATAACTTTAAATAGGTATTTTTTATTCAAACTTTGTGTTAGCAGTGTGAATTTGACATTTCAAAAAAGAAAGGCAAAAATTGGTTCAAGTGAGGTATATCAATGAGTTTTTCCATATGTAAAAAAGAGTTCACAAATTATATTTATAGAAATAACATGTGACCTTCCCAAATAGGTATTTATTCTATGAAAATATAATGCATTTACCTGAAGTTAACAAATAAATTGTTAAATGAGATAAAAAAACAAATTAAAAGTAGGTTCTTCAAAAATTTTATCTTTTGAATCAGATCTTTTTTTGTGTGTTTTCTTTGGCAGAACAGCAAGCTGTGAAGAATAAACCTGCAGTTATGAAGGGATTGTGCCTGTGTTAGTTTCTAGATTTGTTCACCATTAATTTTAATTATGTAGGTAGTTTTCAGAGTCCGGTAGGACAGTGTTAAGGACATTTGGTTACTGTAACTATAATTTATATGCTGTAAATTGTTTGGATTTCTTTTAAGTTGAGCCTTTATGAGTTCTCAAGAGCTTTTGAGTTTTTATCACCTGTTCTGCAAAATGCTTTTGTAGTGTGTCTTCCTCAATTATTGATATATATTCATAATTTGAAATTAATGTTCCCGTTAATATCTGGAGAAAAGAGTTAAGATAAAATTCGTTTGTGTTTTTGTTGTAGGTATTGCACAATAAAACTAACAACCCTAAACTAGAACAAAAATATAATTAACTTTATTTCTCTGTCTAGCCCACTGTATGTGAACGGGAGCTCTGTGTTTTTGCTTTCCAAACATTAGGAGTGATGAATGAAGCTGCTGATGAAATTGCAACTGGGGCTCAGGTAGAATTATCCAATGCTCATTACATGTCTGATTTTGTATAAATATACTCAGTCTTCTCAATCTCTTCTAGAATTTATTTTGACTTATTTGCCCTGTGTCAGTACTTTTTGGTAAGTATTATTTATTTGTCCACTCTTGTATGTATAGCTGTAACTACACTGTTTAAGCCTGGCATTTTCAAAAGGAACTAATGAGGTGCTTCTATTGTTTTCCTTCTATGTAATTAGAGTAGCCCTGTTTTCTTATTTAGTTGTATTCAGTTAGGTCACCTGGGCTGTCAATAAAGGCAACCATTGTCTTTTGGAGATAATTCCCATTTTATTTTCACCTAATGAGCCATTACTACTCTCATGCAATTAGTAAGCTACTTCCTGTTCTTGGTGTTGGGATAGAGCTATCCCCTGAGCATCTGCTGTTTTGATCATTAAATAACAGTGGGAAGGTCCTTATTGATGTTGCTACCTAAGTTTCTCCTCTCTTGTCAAGGATCAGGAATTTAATATGAGCTTGCTTCCGACTCTAAATTCGGTTATTAATCAGAGGTTTTTAACTGTGCTGCCGAATCACCATTTAACTGTAGATTAAAATAGCCACAGAGTTTCAGTAAATTCAAGGAACAGTGGCCTTTAGAAATCTTATGGATAAGTACACTCCTCTCTAATTTCCTAAGCATATGTTCCTCATTAGGCACTTAGGTATGTAGTAAGCAATATGTTTTTCAAAAGAGCAGATATTCAGTTCATTTAACTGGTGAGTCTAGCCATTGGAAATAAACTACTCAGCCAAGTGCCTGAATGTCACTGATGGGCACATCCACAGGGGAAGAAACTTGCAGCAGCATACATCAGCTTCTTGACTTGAGAATATAACCATGGGATCTGAGGTCTGATGTCAGAAGACAGTTGGATGGCTTGGATATGAGTTGGATGGATATGAGTTTTATTTGCAACATCTCACGCGCCAAGCATAGGGATACCTTTGCCAGCCTATAAGAAATGTAGAGAGATACGTGCTGATGAAACACCATCTCCTCTCCAGTCTAATATCCCCTAAAGACCTGAGTTATGCATGCTGTGGAGCTAGATTTTTACTTTCTGAACGTAGGCACTTGCATGGTCATTTAGGTACAGAAAAATAGCTCTCACTCCTCTTTTTCAATGAAACTGAAAGGAGAGATAGTCCTGATTTGGACTCATGCTGTTTTATGCAGATCTCTCTGCTGCAGAGGTATGCATAGCTAGTTCTAGGAATGCTGTATTGAGATGTGGCACTTCTACATCTGCAGAGCTTTGCTGAGCAGTACTGAAATTATTACAACCTTAATGGTGGTTAAAGGAATTCGATAAGAGGTTTTATCGATTGTGTTGTTGAACCTACATGACTAAATTTTGGTAACTCTCACTCCATTGATCTCACCCAGCTCACTACATCTGATCTTACTGGGTTTCCTTTCTTGTCTGCAGAAAGAATTCAACGTTTTTAGGGACTGATTCATCTGAGGTATTTTTGACATGAATCACAGTATAACCATCAACATCTATGGTTATTTTCTCCATTGATTATAAAGGGAACCTAAGCTAACTAGCTGAGATGTAGGTGTTTACACTGTGAATATCTACATTTCTCCAGAAGAATCTTCCCCTAAGTCTCCAAACCATTTTATGTAGCTAAGAAGCCTAAATATAGGCTCCCAGTATTGGAAATCACATCCTGTTTTTTCGACTGTGCTTTTCCTAAAGCTAGTTTTAGAAAACTAGCTTAAAAATTAGCTAAAACTAGCTAAAGCTAGTTTTCTAAGGTATACATCTCTACTTTGTCACTCCCAATATTCTGATGGCTCTTTCTTAATAATTAGAGACTGCGCTTTTGAAAACTTTTCAGTTTAAATTCACCTTGTCTTATTTCAATCACTTACCCAGAATGCCTGAAAGTTAAGTGCCTGATTTGTTGATAGTTGAGACTCCCTCTAGAGAATCTCTTAAGAGAGGTAAGCACTACCTGAAAGATTGATGTCGTAAGAGAGAATTGTCCTCAGAAGATGTCTATTTTTTCCTCCTTGAAAATATTTAAATCCTAATTTAGCTACTTAAATGTCCTCTGTTAAATAAGAGAAGTTCAGACCCAGCTATAAGGACATTTACTAGATCCACAGACCCTCCTATTAACGAAGGAACACATAAACAAGTTTGTATTGTAATGTTTGCATTATGCTTATCTCCCAGTTTAAGCTGCTGAGTTCCATCAGCTCAAAACAATGATCTCAGGGGAAATCAGGGGTTTAATTAAGCCTAATCTATTTGTCTTTCCCCCATGAAAGAGTAATATACTGGTATGATGGTGAGAAATGATATAAAGGTCAACATTTGTTTTAAAGGAAGACTTTGGGATGATGTTCTTATAACAACTGTGCCAATTTTAAGACAAAGTTCCACCATGTAAGTCATAAAGCAAGATAACTTTGGGTCACTGCGTTATAAGATTTAGGAACTCGTACAGCCTTTTCCTAGTAGTGTTTTACAGCTGGAAGCTAAGAAGTGCTTCGGAGAAGTATGAGTATGAACTTGGGCCCACTTTCATGAGAATACATTTCCCAGTTTACCCAGTTGCAGGCTTGGTTGCCTGACCTGGCTGTGTAAACAGACTCCTAGTCTCCTTTGCAAATACTAGTGCAGAGGCCCTATTTTGGGATGGTCGTCACACTTGTAGGTATTACAAACTGGAGAGAAATCAGAGCACTGTGGAGGAAGGAATGATTACTCAAATAACTTCATTTTTCAATATATGTGAGATACTGAGTAACTGGAACTAGCAGAATATTTTTAAACAGATGGAGAAAATTGTCCATTCATGCTAAAGGAGCAGAGGAGGAGAATGGCAACAGTATGACTCACTGCAGCGCAATTCCTTTTCACTTTCATTACATGATTCATGTTTTCATTCTGCTTGTCTAAAGGACCTTCTCTTTTATTTCCTTCAAGTGATCAGATATAATAACAGAGATGTAATAACTTTTAGAACAGCTTGAACTGTGAGTTGAGATCTGATCTATCTGGGATTGTGGGAGGAACCAGGGGTGCCTACTAACTACAGCTCATCTCAGCTTTTTGTTCCTTTCATGGAAAAGTCCATTTTCACAGAGAAATGTGTTCAAAAGTCACAGCGGAGTCAGGAGAGAACGGAGCCAATTTACAACTACATTTTTATGTAGCAACTTTGGATTTCATTATGAGCTGGATTTAGGTTTCATAGCTGCCATAAAACTACCTTCTTTCTGTTTTGTGATTGCTATAGTCTATTTTTAAGCTCTCAGTTATGAATTTTGGTGCAATTATACTTAAATGTTTCGCTGTGTGTTGTGTGCATCTACATGCACATATGTGCATACTTGCATGTGTGCGCATTACACACACAGTCTTATGATGATATATTGGAAATCAACGCATATTCAAAACCGTGTCATAAATCCGTGCAAAAGAAGGGAAGAGGATCTCTCAGTGTGAGCCATGCAAATGACTATTAAATCACTGCACGATTCTGGCTCTTGCAGAAGCAATGTTTACTGTTGTTTGCACAATTATCTTCAGAAGAACAGTAGTCAGTGGTACAGATTCACCAACCTCATCCTCTCCTCCTTTTTCTCCTCCCTATGAAATGTTCTTTGCTGGCATCTAGCACAAAGATCCAACACGGAGCCATTTTTTTAGAGGATGAATTTAATCCAGGAATTATCACACGTACACAAGAGAAAGCAGGATTGTAGACAATGTATTTAACATGGGAATACTTTTAGGACCAAATATTGGTCAGACTTAAGCTTCAGGGCCAAACCCAAAGCCTGTTGAGGACAATTTCAGTCCTAATTGTGTGCCGTGAATAAAACAGTTTGGATATAATAGGTAATAATGAAATACCATATTACTATAATGTATAAAATGAAAAGCAGACTGCATGATACAATATGAAAGTACATATACTGAATAAATCTTTTTCTTTATCCTCAGGTAGTTGATCTGTTAGTATCCATGTGCCGGTCTGCGTTAGAGTCACCTAGAAAAGTTGTCATTTTTGAGCCATATCCTTCTGTAGTTGATCCTAATGATCCTCAGATGCTGGCCTTTAATCCCAGGGTGAGTAGTTATATTTCAGTATGTTGTAGCTTGATTTTAGTCATGTGTTAGATTTCAAAGCAAAGCCTTCTTCTCCAGATGTCTTTTTACTATTAGAGATGCAGCTCTAGAGCTATGTGGCTCTGCTTTCAGAACTCTGCAGTATTTTAAATTGTCTGTGAGAAGGTAAATAAACTGTAAGTTATATTGAAGCCAAGAGCTCCTTCTTTCAGGGTACAAATCCAAGATGAAATTTTTTTTATTTTTGGTGTCCTGTCAATATATGCTTTGAACGTCAAGAAAAAGATGGCCTTTGAGAAGTGTAGGCCATGTAGACCAGGGGGATTTCCAATCCATCTTTTATATTCTTAAACTGTTTATTGGTACCATCTCATTTTCACTTTGTAAATAATTATGTCCTTAATTTATCAGATGCTGGGTATGCAATGGAGTGTTGTACAAGCATCAAAGTTGAAGCAAAGAACTAAGTTTGCAGTACTTGCTCCTTGGACTGCAAAAGCTGCTTCACAGGGAAGCCTTAGGGAAGCCGTGAACTATTATATTCCACTTGAGCTGTTCTCAAGGGCATAAATAAGAACTTTGGGCTGCCTTCTTTGGGATACACATTAGTAGTTTGGAAAGAAGGCCGGTTAGCGGTGGTTCTTCTTCAGAGAAAGTGGCAAGTGTATTCTGTAGAGCACGGGATGGAAGGATTGTTGAGGAGGTGCCAGGAAAGGGGTGGGCGAGGAGACAGCTCGTCCAGCGGTTGGGGTAAAGTGTAGGTATGAAGCTGAACAGGGAACAAGAATGAGGGTAGCACCAGCAGAGCTGCGGAGAGAGCCTGCAGCTGGCAGGGCCCTCACTACCCCCAGCCCCTTGCCACCATTGTGAGGTGAAAGCCCACAAGTGCCAAAGTTGGCATGACCCGCAGGCAGGAAGTAGTGAAGCTCCTGAGGCTGATGTGAAACATGGGGGTCACGAAGCACACGCTCTTAAGCTCATCTGCTTGGAAAAGGTGGAGCCCTCTGGTAGCAGTTCCCAGGCAGGAGACAGGCACGAGTCGAGGGAGGCAGGGTGGCAACTGAGGCTGACTCAGAGGTGGATGGCCGATCATGCTACTCAGCATGGTACCGAGTCTGTGGAGTAGCAAACTATGTTACTAGCGGTGCGCGTATCTCTGATGTTTTACAGAGCTATTAGCAGAGTAAACACATCTGCTTATTTAGCATTTTATTTAACATCTATTTGTTCACTGCATCATTTAACATAATAGCATATTACTTAAATAACTGGCAGAGCCTATGTTTAGCTACAAATATTTGTTTAAAAAGTGAGCTAATTTTTGAAGTGATCACTTTGTTGCATGTTGGAGGTTCTAGTGAAATTCAAACAAAAAACATAATTCTTTTTTTCCTGGAGCTGTCGTGGACTACGAACAAGAGTCTATGTCTGAGATGGAAGGAAGCTATTGGTTAGAAAAATTTGAAAGGATTGGTTTGCTGAACATTGATTCTAAATGTGGTTTTGTACACACTCAAAGAACTGAGGTTTTTGTATAGCCAAAGACCCAGAATATTATTTTAATTTATTTGCTTATTTTATATTACATCAGAAGAAGAATTATGACCGAGTCATGAAAGCATTGGATAGTATCACTTCTATTAGAGAGATGACACAGGTGAGCATTAAAATCTTTACATAACTTAATAGCTATTTCTAGAACTAGGTAGGTGTTTACATTGTTGCCTATGGGGGAGAGGGGAATGCAACTGTATCATCTCTTTCCTATAGAGCTGTAAGGATATTAAAATTCATGTTAAAAATAAAAAACCTACAGTATCCATAACAGCAGTGCAATAAAAGTGATGAAATAGAACTCAGGTCTTGTGGAGTTTCAATTAAGAGATAATACTAGCAGAATCAAACAGTGCAACAAAATAATGGCCAGTTGCTGCATTTCTGAAAATATCAAGGCCAAACTGAGTCTTTTATTTCCAAAGCAGAAGAAATTGATGTTATGGCAGTGTTCTGAGGTGATAACTGATAACTTTATTTCTATTATAATGAGCCATTTGGTCAGTAAAGTGTGGTGGGAGGCTGGAGACTCAGGTCTCTTGAGATTACTACCATATGATTTTCCAATATTCACAGTGGGACAGAATGTAATAGCCATACTTAGTTTATGTAATATTTCGTTTTCCAAACAGCCCACCTGATTATAACTGATTTCCTCTGACTCAGCATGAGCCATAATACCTCTATCCTATGCACCATGCTATGTAGGCAAAAACTTATATAACTCTTATTCTGTTTGTATTTGTATAATACTTTGCGATACTGGAATAAGGAAGCAGGTGTTTGGAGAACATTAACATAAGCTGAAAGCAAACATTGAGGTGTTTTTGTAAGCTCATATAACATCTTTTAATGATAAAGATTCAGATATTGTTGTTATCTAAAGAATATCTTTTAAACATAAAAATAACAATAATTATTGAACTGAAGAGTTTCAAAGGGACACTTTGCACGGTGATTGAAATAAAGAAAAGATTTCAAAGGGAATATAAGATGATTAAGCATGTTACTTTACCAGTTTGTACCATGAAGCAGTTAAAACTATGGGGGTGAATTAACCTAGGGTTTTTTGAGAGACTTAATTTTCTGAAGTTCCAGTCCAATTTCTTAATGCAAGAGCCAAACATAAGTAGAGGTCTTCTGCTGTTCTCACTGAGATCAACAATGTTTGCTATAGTATATTCATTTTGATGCTAATTATATGCTTATTATTTTACTCTAGGGAAAATAATTGCTATATTAATTCTTGTTGTTGTCAAAACACGCTTATAACTGTACAAGGCTAAATGTCAGTAAATCTGTGATTTAAGCCCAAAAATGAGTCCCATGTATTCATTTTAATAGATGAAGTCATGGGCAATGTAACATACGAAATGTAACCTTTTTATTTCAGCTAGCAATAAAGAGCATAATTACTGTTTTCTAGGCACCTTACTTGGAAATAAAGAAGCAGATGGATAAACAGGACCCGCTTGCGCATCCTCTTCTACAATGGTATAAAATTGACCCACATGAAATGATAATTATAAAAGTACCAAACTGAATGAGTAATTACTTCCCAGTTTAATTTTGTTTAAGCTCACCCTAAGAATCACTGTCAGGGCTGACATTTGCAAGTGCATTTGTTTCTGGACTGTTTCTGAACCTCATCTGGGTCCCCTGAAGACATTGGAAAGCCTCCAGCTGATTTGTATGGCCTCACATCTGATTTTCTAGTCAAAATTTGGTCTACTTTGATCAAATAGGTTCAAATGCCAGCAGCCGAGTTCTTTGTGACAGGCATTCTGCAATGTTTTTAAGAAGAAAGTTCTGATTTGTTATCATATCTAATACATCTAACTATTTCTTATTTTAGGGTTATTTCTAGTAATAGATCACATATTGTGAAGCTACCAGTGAATAGGGTAAGTGTCTGTGGGTTCCTTTTCCTGTTCTTTCTTATTTTATCATTTCTTATGGCTTGTTTTAGCATTTTAGGTGGGATTCACAGGGCCAAATGTAGGTGTCTACATTCAAACTAGTCATCTATGTTCCATTAATAGACAGTGGAAAGAAATAGGCAGTTTTAGGTCATGAGTCATAGAATCATGTTATGAATACCTAAAATAGGTCAAAGGAATCGTGCTCTGAAAGACCCTGTTTAAGGTGAGTAGCTCAAATGCAAGTTCTACCTTGTAGTCATCTGAGAGTGGTGAGAAGAACCTCACTTTGGTTTTTGTTACCATACAGAATATTGGATACAGGATTGTGTAAAAAGCAATGCACATATGAACATGACATGTGCCTAGAGATTGAAATGTGAGAATGCTGTAAAAAAGAATATGGCTCTGGAATTTTAGAGGGATGATGTTGAGATTCATTTCTGGTTATGTGTTCCTCTCATCCTTTGATTAAGGGTGTAGTAATCTGCAGCCTTTCAAATCTGAGCTTTAATTCAAAGCTAGCTCTCATCAAAATTCCGTGATGAAATTGTTCAGTTTAATTATTTTACTAGAATCATTTCAGGCTGAAATCTGTTTCAGAAACTTATATATGTTCGTAAGCCCTGAAGTATTTTTACTGTTTGATTTGGAATAAAAACTATGGTAACGAGACTGATTTCAACTTAGTTCACATAGGTATTTTGATGCCGTAATATATTGTGTGAAACAGCATGATATTTTAAGAACTGCCATTCTGGAAATACAATGTTTTTGTGTTAATCAACTTCTTTTCACTCATGCACTGTTGTATTTTACAGCAACTAAAGTTTATGCACACTCCCCACCAGTTCCTTCTTCTCAGTAGTCCACCAGCCAAAGAATCCAATTTCCGAGCTGCTAAAAATCTCTATGGAAGTACCTTTGCATTTCAGTGAGTACATATATTTATATTAATCAAAGGTTACCAAAATGCCAAAGCTATTTTTTTCCCTTGCCATTTGAGGTTTACCACTGTGAATTTATTGTTTTAAACGGACTGTTGATTTTATTTTGAATTTTACACTGTGGATTTTAACCCTTTCATTTTATTTTTCCAGTGGTTCACACATTGAAAATTGGCATTCCATCCTGAGGAACGGCTTAGTTGTTGCTTCCAATACCAGGCTGCAGGTAAATAATAGATTAAATGGACTTCAGCTAACCTGCGTATGTTTGATTACATAATAATCTCAGACAGGTTTTCAAGGGGTCTGACGTTGGTGCACACGTAGGTGGCAAAAAAGGGCGATTGCAAATACCCTCATGTTTCACTGAAAACGATACTATTCTGAAGCAATTAAAATGAAACAATGTATTTGCTTATATCAGTGGCAAAAATCCCATTGTCTTCAATGTAATTGCAGTTTCAGTTTTGCATTGCACAGCAGTACCTCCAGGAGGCTTAGCTCGGTATTGCTTAAAAGCAATCTCACACTTAAGATCCACATAAACTCTATCTATATTATAGGATCCAAAAGCACCCTAGGTTTACAGAAGCTGGGTTTAAGCATTTCATCTCCTTTGGTTCCCTTGAGAAAGGAGTATGAGTGCTGGCCGGGAGGAGCTATTGCAAACTTCAGTTTGGTTCCCCAGGCTGAATTATCAGGAGAGCAGTACTGCAGAGCAAAATAGGCAGAGCCAGAGGGACTGAGGAGCTATTACTCAGAGTATTTTAGCATCAGGGTTTTGACAGCTGTTCCCCAAGAGCAGAATCCATGACCCTGATTACATGCCTTAGAGCCTTAGAGGAGGATATGAGTGTACAGAATAGGGAACTAAGGTAGTGAACAGAAAACCCTGAAAAATAGGAGTGGAAATCTGTACAGTTCCCCTCAGTGGTATAGGTGTTTTTATTAGCATCTTTGGAAGATGCTTCCCCATGGAAGGAACATTTATACACCAAAATTCACTAAAGTAAGCACCTTTTTTTTTTTTTTCCCAGAAGTGAGATATTGGAAAGTGAGGCAAGCAGTAAAGCCCCATTTTACACAAGTCATCATATATCTCTCAAAAAAATGGCATATCCTAAGCCCAGTACTTTCCACCTACCCCAGTACCAGCAAGCCAGGAAAAACAACCAGTTACCCAGCTGTGGGGTCTGGAGGAGTGGGAGCATGTTTGCACACTCCTATGAGAGCTCTGACATCTTGCACAGATGATGTGAAGGTCATTGGGCAAAAAGGAGGATCTAAGGGTGGGGATGACTTTGAAGCCCAGTGGTCATAACATCTCCCTGGCTAGGAGATGATCTGGATTCTCATTTGTGCTGTAACAGCTACTTTTTACATTTTCTTTAAAGGCCCTTTCAGACAAGTCAGTCAGTCCCTGGAGGGGAAGTAAAATTTGCCGCATGATCTCTTTCCAGACTTTTTTGACCACCATTTATTATCAGGCAAAAAATTAGTGTGATGAGGTGGATACTTGTCCACATTAGGACTTGTGCCTTGCATTACTGTTTTGTTAAGATAATCAAATTAATGATAAACAACCACTGTGCTCTTTTTCAGCTCCATGGTGCAATGTTTGGAAGTGGAATCTACCTTAGTCCATTGTCAAGCATATCATTTGGTTACTCAGGTGATATTTATAAATCACTCTAAAGTTGGAGAAATATAGGGGGGTATCTTAGTTTACTGCTTTTCTTATCTGCTTGAATGTTTACAACGTTGTAGTCAATTTTATCTTTGTAGGTCAAGATTTAATTTATTAAAAAAAGACAAAATCTAATTTCCCTTATTAAGTACCTATCTGGATTTGCTCAAAGGTGTTGAGTACATTGAAACTCGAATTGAGGTAGATAGTAACCTCAGTATACAACTCTCTATACGACTCTATACAACTCTAAACAGATGGATGCTCTATACAACAGATCCAACAGATGGATGCTGTATAGAGCTAAACAGATCTTCACTAAGTGGTGGGAACCCAACTCTATGTTTGTGGTTGTTGTCAGTATTTGCCTGTCAATTTAACAGCGGCTATGGACTCATAGGCTTTCAGGACGTGATCTGACAAAATGCATACTCATTTCAATAAAGAGAGTGGTTGCACTGAAATCAATAGAGGTATTCCAATATTTATATTTAAGAATATTCCCAAGTGTATCACTAGGTCAAGGCTACATCGAAAGTACACAGCAGTGTGTTTATTTTAGCATGAGGAGGGGCGGAAACATAATTTGCCCCATTAGTAAATCCAAAAGTGAGTCATGCAGAGTTTTCCATATAAAAGAAAATCATAAATAGAAGCATGATACACAAATGTATATATTAAGAATTTTTTTTATGGAGATTGTAAAATACTGTGATTTTTTCCATTAGTTATGTTTATTTACCATTTAATCACAAGTGTTAAATGTTCACATAATTGTGTGTGTGTATATGTGTGTGTGTAGATATATTTTATTCTGAGAGAGTTATGCTTTCTGATTTTCAGTATTTTTAGGTAATGTCACAAACCATTTTTAGAGCTCAGCATTTTCTACCACTATTTATTGAATTACAATATCAGCAATCTCTATAAATGTGCTTTTAGCTTTTCAGAGATTACTCAAGAAGTATGAAAACTTTAGGGCTCACTACAAGTGCAGACTGCAGTATCACTTTCTAGCTACATGGAGTTTTGCTTTGTCAGCTTGAGTGTGTTTTTCTCATCTCTCTACCTTTCTTTGTCACTCCATCCAGTGTCCTCCAGAAAGAGGCATGTATTTCCACAGAGAATATAATAGTTTATACTGGTAGAAAGTAGGGTGGAGTCCTAGAATCCCATTTCCCTGTAAATCAGTCTGAGATTGCAAACTGCCAAGAAGTGTGGGATACTGGGAAAAATATTAGGCCTGTAGGCCTGTATACAATAGGGGAACGTTATGCAAAGCAACATGAGTAATACAAGAGAGATCTAAGATACAAACATAAATATTTAAATTTCTGAGATGGAGATGGATGCATCCAAACGGGTCAACAAATACTTTATTAATTTTATCTTTAGATAAATTAATAAAGGCTAGGCAGACTTTAAAGCTACCTTTAATTAAATTAACTACTCCTAAAAATAGTATTATAGCGATTTTAAAAATATAAATAAAGTGTTAAAGAGGAATATCTAAAATCCTTTCTCTCAGAATTTTACTACTCTGTCCAGAGTAAATCAGAGTGTATGCTACTTTAGCCTGATTAGGCTCAGTTAAACTCAGACAGGCTGACATGTAACTCTGTTAAGCAACCACCTAAGAGCATTTCTGAGCTGAATTCAGTGGAATTTAAGCTCATATTTAACTACTTTGGCACCTGCTTAAAGCTAATCTGGCTTTCCTAAGGTCCTTGCAACACGTGCAGACGTACAGATAATTTGCAGGATTAAACTGAATTATTCTATGACAAAGTTAACTAGGTTTCGTGGCTCTATGCAGAGGACTGTGATCCGCATCATATTACCTGCTTGATTATCCATCTTTAACTTTGCTTATTATGGTATGTATATGCCAGGATATCTTATATGATTTTAAAATCCTTAGGGATGAACAAGAAGCAGCAGAAGGTATCAGCTAAGGATGAACCTGCTTCAAGCAGCAAGGGCAGTAATACATCACAGGTACAGTAGTGTATCAACTATCTCTGGATACATATGCGTTTATGTTTGGGAACTTGGTAGCTGACAAGCAGGCAATATTGCTTTTGTGAAAGCTAACAGATTTTTTTTTAAATTGTGTGAAATCAACAGTTCCAGAGATATTGCAACCATCAAATTTGGCTCAAGTGCTTATAGTAACAATTTACAGGGTATACTGCAGGTCCCTGTACCCTTTCTGCATGCTTTTCCATGCAGAAATATCTAGAAAGGCAATGGAACCAAAATACAGATTTTACATTTTGACCCTTAGCAAGGCCTTGCTTTCTGAAGTCTAGATTTTTTTACTGAAGGATGATGAAGCAGAAATTGAGAGTGGTTATTGCTGTAAAATGAGTAGCGGTTCACTGATAGCACATCAGTTTTTCTTCTTCATAGTTTTAAACATTAAACCAGTAAAACACTGCTTTATCTAAAGCAAACTCTTAGCAATTATTTGCAGGGCTAAATTTTGAGAAAGAAATCTTACATCTGTCTCCATAGTCAAATGTAAAACGTAAAAAGTACAGTGTAATCTGGCTTTTCAGAGATCTGTGTATTAGAGCAGAAGCCTGTAGGAATAAGAAGGCCGGTAAAATACCAAGGCAGTGGTCAAAGAATCAGTGATCAAATTCTTCTAGGGTTTTTTTCTGCTCTCAATTGTTGATCAGTAATAATGTGATCTTTCTAAAAAATATTATTCAATTTCTAGTAATTTGGAACTTTTCTGTCAGGATAAAGGGTTTTAAAACCCTCCTATGATTCTAAACAAGTAATCAAAATGTTTTTAAGAAGGCTACCTCCTTATTTATTTATGAATAAAACACTGAAAATAGCAGCTCTCCCTTTTGTTACTTTTTTTACTCAGTTTGTCTTACTGCACTAATTAATGTTTCTCATGTTTTTACATTTCAGTCACAGAAGAAAGGACAACAGTCACAATTTTTGCAAAGCCGTAACTTAAAATGCATAGCCTTATGTGAAGGTAAGTCGAAAACCCTTGAAAAATTCTTTTAATCATGTGCATGCTGTTATTGGATGCAAATCAGTGCAAGCTTTAATTCTAGTACTGGTTGGTTTTAAATAAGAGACTATTGGTAGTCATACAAGTACTTGCTAAATAGATAACCTTTATATTTCAGTGCAGAATGTTTCCCTCTTCCAGCAAAACCTACAATGCACGCTTAGCTTTCATGAAATTGTCATATACATGTAGTGACTGATCGTCTGGTCTGCCTTTCAAATGTGATGATATTCCTGTTACATCAATATAATTCAAGTCATAGTCTTATTTGACACCTGCGACAAATGCATTAAACATCTAACAGTCAGAAATAACAGCTTTCCTTTTGAATTGCCAAATAACTTTTCACTGCTTGGGCAAATACGCTGTTCATCTGCTAACCAGTCTGTTCTCCATGACTACTTCAGAAATCCTGTGAAGTTAAAATCCAGTACATGTGACTATAATCATTCCTGAAAGATTTGACCATTCTTTTAACAACTAATGAAAACTTATACGGTTTGCAGAAAAAATAAAGGATTATGAGATCTGAATAAGAACTATTATGAAATTTGAATGTGTCTGATAATTAGACTCACTGGCCAAACGTGTGTGTGTATGTGTGTGTGTGTGTGTGTGTTTATGTAGGTAATTCCTCTCACTGGCCAAAATACACATATACATACATGCATACCTATATTTAAACTCAGTTTGCCTTATATTTTGAGCATTTTCTACATTTAGAAAGTAAAAATTAGTAAGATTGGACACAACATTATTTCAAAATGCAAAATTTAAGTTTATACTTTTTAAAATATATTTTTGCAGTGTTTTTTAAAGAGAAGCAATTAAAATAATCAGATGTGATTCAAAAATGTCAATCAACATGAAACTGCAGTTTGATCTGGACTGAAAAATGCATAACTTCCATTCTAAAGTTTTTATTAAAGATATGAAATGAATCTAGGATTTACTAGTATTTTCTTGGCTTTAATGCCCAAAGTGTTTAAATACAACTTACATCTTTCCAAAACGTTCCTATGTGATAGGAGAGATGAATGCGCAAGACTTTTCACCTGTATCTTTTGTCCCTTACATTTATTAATGGATTTGTGATTTTTTTAAGGGTGAATTTTGAATATTTGGTGAAACACATTTTACCTCAGTGGATAATCACTTCATTTTTCTGTGCAAGGAAGTGTCTAGGGAACATGGATAAAACAGATTTTTAACCAGCATAAATTACAACAGATAAATGTTTGTTAATTTTTTTAAAAGAAAGAGTAGAGTCAAAGATTACAGTTAATAGAAGACCTGATGTAAAAATTGAATGCGCATTTATTCGTGCGGGTGTTTAAGTGCATTTATAGAAATCTTTTCAAATATGGACTCATGGTAAAGTTTCTATCTAGCAAAAAATTAATTCTTTCATGTATAGCTCTCATTCTGCTGCTAAACACCCTATGCTCAAATACATTACTGTTTTCTAACAGTACAGCAAGTGTTTGAGTGTTTTCATAATGCCCTTGATTCGTAACTACTCTTCTTATTTTGTAAAAATATTTGTTAGTTTTCAAATCCCAAATCCTTGGTATCTCAGTTTCAGGCTTCGTATTTTGCATTTAATTTTTTGCTCAGCCATCATCAGACCCAAACATCTCTGTGCCAAAGGCTGATTGATTGACACAGGTCCTGTTTAACAGCCCTATGTCTATTTAAAATCAATTGTTAATAAATACACTTTTTCATTTTTTCTGTTTACTGGTCTCCAGAGCAGGTTTGGGGCCTTCAAAGAACTCTGTTTAAGTGAAGTGCCAAATGACCATAAAAGCAGACTTGAGGTTAAAATCATTCCAGTGAACAACTGGCTTCCATACATCAGACATCTGTGTTTTCTGGAAAATATAATGTATTTTGGAAAAAAAAAATCAAGTTCATCTCCCAGTTTGTAGAAGCAGCCAACTCTGAGCTACTACACCATGCCACAGACACGCACTGGAAAACTAGACGTTCCCAAAAGGCCATTTAAAGTGTATAGAAGAGCAGTTATTTTAAAATGACCTTCTCCAGGC